GGGGGGGGGTGGTGGGGAGCCGCGGGCAGCTGCAGTCCCCCGGGATGTGCGGGGATTGCCTTCCCCCCGGGGCCCGGGGTTTGCCCCTCGCCCGCGGGTCCGGGCTTGCCGGGGCTGTCGTGACATCCTCCAGCCCTGCCCGCACGGCGGGTCCGCAAGGGCAGAGCCTGGCTCGGGCTCCGAGTGCTGCCAGGCCTGGCCCCTCTGGACGGCCGTGGGTTGTCCCGTCCAGTCCCCGCGAACCCCCTGCGCGGTCACGCCGCTCCTGCCATGGGATTCACACTGAGACATCACCCTGTCCTGCTCGGGGCACCCATGGGTGCTGGAGAGGGATGCCAGCTCCTGGCTCCCGAGCACCTTCACTTTCCCGTGCTCCCTCCTGTGAAGGTGCCTGGGGCCAGGCCTGGCTCCCAGCACCTCTCCAAAGCGGTGCCGTGGCCGGGGCAACGGCGGGGCCGTGGGACACGGAGGGTCTTTAGGGGCCTCCCACGCGGGTGGGCAGCAGGGCACAGGTGTGCTTTCCTGAATGACACCCCCCCCGATCACACTCACGTCGGCGTTGCTTGCTGACACAATGGGTCGTGTCCGGCGGGACCCGCCTCCCCGCTCCCGACAGACTATTTTAAGCCGGGATTGCTCCAGTGCTATTAATACCCTGCGTGGGGGCTGTTCCTGTGGTCCAGCCTGGCCCTGCTTTCCTGCCCCTGGGATCCTCCTCAGGGAAGCTGGAGGGACCCTGTGCTCCTGCCCACACCCAGGGATACGAGGAGACCTCCTGGCACTTCGGTGCAGCTGAAGGCCAGTGCCAATGTGCCATCTGTGCCCGGTTTCCTTGGGGACCTTGTCAGGGTCTCCTGCTTCTCCCAGGACCTGGCAGCATGGCTGCCCTCTGCTCCTCCCCCCAGGGACCAGCTGGGGGCTGTAGGCAAACCCCTCACCTGCCCCTGTGCTGGGCACATCCCCTGTCCCTGTCCTGCATCGCTGTGGATTTGGCCTCACGTGAAGGTCAGGTGGCCAAGGGCCAGTGCTGGAGGGGGAGGGCGCAGGAAGTCAGACCTGGCCGGTGTCCCCAGCCTGCACTGGCCTGTCTGTGTCCATCTGGAGCCTGATCCTGCCCTGCTGCAGGGCCTGAATCCCACAGCTATGGGTTCCCCTCAGTGGTGGGTGGGAGTCTGGGTCTGCACCCACAGCTTGGCCACAGTGCTGGTGTGGGGGCTGCAGAGCAGGGAGGGTGCCCGGGGCCATGAGCTTGGCTACAGCTTGGAGCAAGGGCACAAACAAGCCACCAGCAGGGGAGCAGTGGACCAGGCAGGGGGCAGCTGCTGCTGCTGATGAAGTGGAGGCACATGTGGGAAGAGCTGCCAGCTCTGTTATTTCTTGAGATTTCCAGAAATGGCTGGAGGAGTGAATCTGAAAGAGAGAATTGGCTTGTGCTGGGGCAGGGGAAGCCCAGGAGAGATGGCCCCACTGAGGAGGCTGGAATTGGCCACACTCTGGCCAGAGGACCCCCTGCTCTCTTACAGGCCAGATGAGTAGGGTGCTGGGTGTCCAGTGGGCTGGGAGGATGCTGGAGTGCAACTGGGGGGTGGTGGGTCTGTTCCACTGTGATGCAGGAGGTGACCCTTCCCAAGCATCACACTGTCCTGTTCCCTGCATGAGCCCCCTCCCTGTCCCATGTCCCCAGTTGTGCAGTGGCTCTGCGCGGGCCCTGGCTCCATGGCCCCTCACTGGGTAGTGGCAGCTGGTGCCACAGGGAGTGGATGTGTCACTTGCTATCTTCTTGGCAGGGAACAAATTATGGTAGAAAAGCCCTGGCTGTGCCTGGCATCCCCACTGCCTGTGCTTCAGTGCTGCTGCCTGCATCCCTGCTCACGCTGCCCAGCCTGGGATGAGGGTAGTGGGAAGAACCAGGACCCGGGGAAACCAGCTGCAAATGAGTCACATCACAGCCAGGCTGGGGAAGAGCCCCATCCCCTGGGCAAAATGTGGCCCCATTGTATACCTGATGGCTGGGAGACAGGTCCCACTGTGGGGTGGCTGCAGTCCTGCTCCCCTGGCTGGGCAGGAGAGCTGTGGATGGGCCCAGATGCCTCAGCCCCAGAGGCTTTTGATTCCTCTGTCTTCTGCTGCCACGAGTTGCTGAATGATGGGGACCCTGCTGGGTGGCACTGGGGGTAATGGGAAGGGAGGGGCAACCAGTGGGCCCTTCCCCATCACCAGCAGATTGGGAGCAGGTTGCTTGGCCAGATAACAAGGGGGATCACGTGGTGGCTGAGATTAGGGCTGCTGCTCTTGCCAGGGCACTAATTGTAGGAGTTAATTGGCTTAAGAGATACTTAGCACATGCATCAGAGTCAGGCAGAGTGTGGGCAGCTGGGTTTGGACGTGCCCTCCGTGCCCAGCCAGGTGCCTGTGGCTGCCATTGGGGTTGCCATTGGTCTCTGCCCCTCCAGAGCCCGGCAGAGTGGGTTCTGTGTGTGGCAGCGCTTGCAAGAGCCCTGCCTGCTCCCTGCCAGCTTGGCCCTGTCCTACTGCCAGGGATGCTCCGTGTTCCCG